AGGTTGGAGGAGAGAGGAAGAGGAGGGAGAAGGGGGGAGGCGGAAGGATGGGGAGCAGGAGAAGGAGAAGTGGAGACCACAGTGTTCTATTCATTACGAGTACCCAACCAAGGGAGGGCTGGGAACGAGGAGGAGGAGGAGAAAGGAGGGAAGAAGGAGGAGGGGGGAGGAGTGAGTGAGTGAGTAAGTGGGTGGGTGAGTGTGTGATGGAGACCACGGTGCTCTATTCAAAACGAGAACCCAACCAAGGGAAGGTTGGGAATTAACGACTCGGCACCGTATGGGTCATCACTTCCGATGGTTTTGTTTGGCGGGAGCCATTTTTTAAATTTTGGGGCCTACCTGGAAGGACCCACCCAAAACACTGCCAGGACATGGCACTCGAAATAATGACGCCAGCGCTGCAGCGGGAGCACGATGCGGAACGAGCGGTAGCCCGAAAGTGAGGCCGTTGCTTCAACGAGAGCAGCATTTCGGAGAGAAAATTTATCTCGGCGCGGAAGCGCGGAACTGACGACGCGTAGCCGGACATAGCATGGCGTGGCGACGCCCCAAAGGGGAGGGGCTTCCGCAGCCCAGGAAATCGAGTAATCGACACCGAATATATAGTCACTTCCGGTGTTTTTTTTCTGGGGATCCATTTTCTGGGTTTCGGGGCCTATTTGGAAGGACCGACAAGCATATCGTGGCATGTCGATGGGAGCACGATGCGGAATCAGCGGTAGCCCGAGACTGAGGCCAGCATTTCAGCGAGAACAGCATTATATATATATATATATATATATATATATATATACGGACAGCCCCACCCCAAGCACCCACTCTTACCAGCTTTCGCTTCCTCATCCTCTTCCTCGGCTCTCTCTCTCTCTCATTATCTCTCTCCTCTCTCCCTTCCCCCTAAAGCATCGGCGGTATTTCTCAACTCCGAAAGTGGCGTGGCGCGCGATCTGCCAGAGGGCACTGTGGGCTGCGAAAGAACGCCGTCCTCCGCAAAGGAGGAACTCGGCCTGAAGGTCGTACCCACCAACATGCGCACTCGGGGAGGAGAGGGGGAAGGGATGGAGGGTGAGGGAGCAGCGATCCCTGTGGACTCACAGGTTTTGCGACGTCAGGGGCCGCCAAACCCTGCGTTTTCATTATGTTTTTTTGGATTTCTGGGATGCAAATCAAGGAAACCCTGTGCTTTCATTTGGATTTGCATGGTTTTCGTGATTTTCACCCTCCAGACACAATCCAGGAGCCTCCGAAGCTTCAGATGGAGGGTGAGGGAGCAGCGATCCCTGTGGAATCACAGGGTTTGCGACGTCAGGGGCCGCCAAACCGTGCGTTTTCATTTGGATTTGTATGATATTTGATATGCTCACCCTCCAGACACAAACCAAAAGCCTCCGAAGCTTCAGAGCCTGAGAAAACCAAAAAATCCGAACCATCCGAATGAAAACACCGGGTTTGCGACGTCAGGGGCCGCCAAACCCTGCGTTTCCATTTTGATTCTTTATAGTTCCAAGGTTCTGAAGCTTCGGAGGCTCCTGGATTGATTTTGTCTGGAGGGTGAACATTTCATTGTTTTAAATCAAAACGCAATGTTTCCTTGATTTCCACCGGAAATCGCAAACATCCAGATGAACACGCAGGGTTTCCGTACTTGTGGTGTCGCGAACCCTGCGTTTTCACAGGGGTTACGGCGAGGATCTGCGGCACGAGACGGACGCCATGCTGCGCGATGCTTGGCAGAAGAACTACGGCACCTGAGTCTACGCCCTCGCGGTGTCCGTGTTGATGCCCCTGCGATGACCTTGTAAACCCTGCCGCTATTTTTGTTGCTCGGACCTTCAGAGGGGCCCTGGGCGTGATTTTCGTCGGATGAAAAGAGAATCCCAGACGCCCGACGCGATCCCTCTGAAAACGCAGGGTTCGCGACACCACAGGTACGGGAACCGTGCGTTTTCATTTGGAATTCTGCGATTTCTGAGACGAAAATCAAGGAAGCATTGTGTTTCCAGTTGGATTTTTGTGATTTGCACCCCCCAGACAAACTCAATCCAGGAGCCTCCGAAGCTTCAGAACTTGGAACATCAACGAATCCAAATGAAAACGCAGGGTTTGGCGACCCCTGGCGTCGCAGACCCAGTGTAGGATATTTGGGATCTCTCAGGCTCTGAAGCTTCGGAGGCTCCTGGGTTGTGCCTGGAGGTGAAAATCCCCAAAATCCCCCTTCCCCAAAAAGACATGACAACGCACGGTTGCTTCGATTTTCATTTCAGAAATGACAAAAATCAGAATGAACACGCAGGGCTTGGTTGCCCCTGACTTCGCAAACCTTGTGATTCCACAGGGATCGCTGCTCCCTCACCCTCCATCTGAAGCTTCGGAGGCTCCTGGATTGTGTATGCAAAGACAAAATAGCAAAAATCAGAAGAAAAAAAACGTCCAGATGGAAACACAATGTCTCCTTCATTTTCATCACAGAAAGCCCAAGCATCTCAATGAAAACACAGGGTTCGGCGGCCCCTGACATGGCAAACCCTGCGGTTCCACAGGGATCGTTGCTCCCTCACCCTCCATCACTCCCCCCTCCTCCTCCCCGAGTGCGCATGTTGGTGGGTAGGACCTTCAGGCCGAGTTCCTCCTTTGCGGAGGACGGCGTGCTTTCCCAGCCCACAGTGCCCTCTGGCAGATCGCGCGCCGCGCCACTTTCGGAGTTGAGACAAACCGCCGACGCTTTAGGGGGAAGAGAGAGAGGAAAGAGAGAGAGAGAGAGAATGAGAGAGAGAGAGAGAGAAAGATAATGAGCCGAGGAAGAGGATGAGCAATCGAAAAATGGCAAGAGTGGGTGCTTGGGGGGTTGTCAATACATACGTATATATATATATATATATATTATCGCTGAAATGCTGGCTTCATTTTCGGGCTACCGCTCGTTTCGCATCGTGCCCCCAGCGACATGCCACGGTACGATTGTCGGACTTTCCGAATAGGCCCCGAAACCTAGAAAATGGATCCCCGGAAAAACCACGGGAAGTGACTATATATTCGGTGTCGATTCCTCGATTTCCTGGGCTGCGGAAGCCCCTCCCCTTTGGGGCGTCGCCACGCCATGCTATGTCCGGCTACGCGTCGTCAGTTCCGCGCTTCCGCGCCGATTTTATTGTTCTTTCCGAAATGTTGTTCTCGTTGAAGCAACGGCTTCATTTTCGGGCTACCGCTCGTTCCGCATCGCGCTCCCGCTGCACCGTTGCCAAATTTCCGCGCTTCCTCTCTGCAGCGCTGGCGTCATTATTTCGAGCGCCATGTCCCGGCAGTGTTTTGGGTGGGTCCTTCCAGGTAGGCCCCAAAATTTCAAAAATGGCTCCCGCCAAACATACGGTGCCGAGTCGTTAATTCCCAACCTTCCCTTGGTGCTGGGGGAGGCGCTGCGAAACTCAGCGCGGAAACGCGGAACTGACGACGCGCAGCCTGACATAACATGGCGTGGCGACGCCCCAAAGTTGGGGGGGTGGGCCTCCGCGCCCCAAGAAATCAACGAATCTACGCCGAATGTATAAGCACTTCCGATGTTCGGTGGGGCATGTTCTAGATTTGTGGGCCTATTTGGAAGAACCGAAAACCATGTCGTGGCACGGCGCTGGAAATAATGACGCCAGCACTTCGGCGGGAGCACGAGTCGGAACGAGCGGTAGCCCGAAAATGAGGCCAGCGCTTCAGCGATATGTTATGTAAACATGTATAGATATGATTCTATGTAGATAAACTTCCCGGGAATCCTGTGTGTAAAAAGCCAGTACGCGGAGGGGGGCCGGACAATTCCCCGGACACCACCAGGAGAGAGAGAGAGGAGAGTAGTACTCAGATTGTGTAAATATGGAGGAGGAGGAGAAGAGGAGAAGGAGGAGGAGGAGGAAAAGGAGGAGATCTCCTCCTTCACCACAGGACTCCAGATGTCTCCAAAGCTCCTGTTTGCCAGGGGCGGTGGGCGGTGTCCGACACTGTTCTTGCCCACGCCGTGGCACGTCTGGTACACGTTTTTGCGTAATCGGCCGTGTTCTTGCCCACGCCGTGGCACGTCTGTGCCTGACAGGCGAGGTACGACGCTCACGGTGGATAGGCTGCTGATGAGGGCGGCAAGGCTCGGAGGAGGAAGAGGTACCCATACCACTACCCTTCTCTCGTGTTCGTCTTTTTGGGCCTCCTGCGCGGCCCCCGTCGCCGCCGCTGGATTCGTTTCAAATCTGGTCAGAGCGTTACCCGAGAGGTCCAGAGAGTTGCGGTATCGGTGTTTGCTGGTTTCCCCAGTTGATGAGGGCGGCAATGTGTGGACACATTGTCTTTTGAGTGTGTGTGTGTGTAAGTGTAAGTGTAAGTGTAAGTGTGGGGGTGGGTGTGAGTGTGTGTATGTGTGTAAGTGTGTAAGTGTGTGTATATATGTGTGCGTGTGTGTGTGTGAGTTTGCGTGTGTAAGTGTGCGCAAGTGTGTGTGAGTGTGTGTGTTAGTGTGTGTGTGTGTGTGTGTGTGTAAGTGCGTATGTGTGTGTGCGTGTGTGCGTGTGTGTGTGTGTGTGTGTGTGTGTGTGTGTGTGTGTGTGTGTGTTTGTGTGTGTGTGTGTGTGTGTTTGAGTGTGTGTGTGTGTGTGTTTGTGTATTTGTGTGTGCGTGCGTGCGTGTGCGTAGTCGTGTGTAAGTGTATATATGTGCGTGTGTCAGTGTAAGTATGTGTAAGTATGTGTGTAAGTAAGTAAGGGTGGTGTGTGTATGTGTGTGTGTCGCCATGTGCACATTGTCTCTGATGTTGAAGATGGGGGGGCGGGACATGTGCATGGTCAGCGGGCACTTGTACGGGGGAAGGGGCCCTAAGGAATGATAGCCGTGGGGCATGACGCAACGGCAGAGAGGAGACGATCTGCAGGGGGAAGGAGATGGGGCGGGGGGGGTGGGGAGGGACAGGGGGGCGGTTGGGAGGGGCAGGAGTAAGCGTTCGCTCCTGGACCCTGTGCCCCCAGGCCGAAATCGAGAAGGTGATCGCGGACGCCAAGCAGTACGGCGCGGCTCTGCTGGCGGTGCAGACGAAGGCGCGCAGAAAGGTTATTGTTGAAAACAATGTGAGGCGTTCCAAATAAGGGCCTTACCTCCGAGGATCGAAGGAGTTGCCATCTCGTCAGGGCGGCGGAAGGCGGCGGAAGTAAAACGGCGGCGGCTCCGCCCTCGGAAGCTTGCGGAAGCTCGGCGGAAGCCGGTGGAAGCAAAAATCGATTTCCCAAGAGATGACAACATTTTTGGGTTCAGGGTTTCCAGAATCCGCCATGTGTCTTTGGTACTGATTGTTTCAGGGGCCCGCTCACAAAGCCAGAGCATGCTGAAATGCAGCCATGCTGCCACAGAGCACGCTGCGGGTGGACCTTAGCGTCTCCATGTACGCGTTTTGAGCGATTTCAGAGTCCGCTACTGCAGGTACTTGATTGGAAATTGTTCTCGTGCTTCGTGCGCGCCCATGATGTTTGGTATTCACATCTGGCATCCCCGTTTAGCTGAATTTGGCAATGGTAGTCACGGACTATCTGCAGTCGTTGAGCGGTCATTATGATAGTGCTCTCCCCTGTGAAAAAATAACGAGAGAGAGAGAGAGGACAAAAAAACGAGAGGAAGAAAGCGAGGGAGAGACAAAGAGAGAGAGAAAGAGCAGCGGTTCTCTTCTTAGCTGATTCGCATAGCCCGATGCCTCGCCTCCCCCCTTCCTCCCCACCACTCTGGCGGTAGGTCTCGTGACACCGTGAGATCTCTACTTGCCGTGCATATGTAGTGTGACCTTTGAAAGTTTCCTGCTGTATCTCGGCAGTTGACATTGCCACACTTTCTTTTGTTAGGAGGCTTCGCTTCGCGGAGGGACGAGGGGTGGGTGGTAACGAGTGGGGTGGAAGGGACGCAAGTCACGTTTGCCGCCCTCAAGCCCATGAATGAGGACGATTAGACCGGCCCGGGGGGACCCCAGCAACCCCAGCAACCCCAGCAACCCTTCCGCGGCCGCGGAAGGGGTCCTGGTAGGATCCCATAGGATTCCTGAGGGATCCCTATCGGATTCCTCAGGGATCCCATAGGATTCCTTAGGGATCCCATAGGTTTCCTATACGATTCCTATAGGATTCCTTAGGGATCCTATAGGATTCCTAAGGGATCCTATAGGATTCCTAAGGGATCCCATAGGCTTCCTCAGGGATCCCATAGGATTCCTCAGGGTACCTAAGGGATACCCATAGGATCCCCATAGGATTCCTAAGGGATCCCATAGGATTCCCATACGATTCCTTTAGGATCCGCATAGGATTCCTATAGGATTCCAGTAGGATTCCTAAGGGATCCCATAGGATTCCTCAGGGACCCCATCGGATTCCCAAGGGACCCTACAGGATTCCTCAGGGATCCCATAGGATTCCTAAGGGCTCCCATAGGATTCCTAAGGGACCCCATAGGATTCCTAAGGGATCCTGTAGGATTCCTTAGGGATTCCATAGGATTCCTAAGGGATCCCATGGGATCCTATAGGATTCCTCAGGGATCCCATAGGATTCCTAAGGGGCCCCATAGGATTCCCAAGGGATCCCCATAGGATTCCTAAGGGAGCCCATAGGATTCCCATACGATTCCTATAGGATCCGCATAGGATTCCTAAGGGATCCTATAGGATTCCTAAGGGATCCTATAGGATTCCTCAGGGATCCCATCGGATTCCTAAGGGATCTCATAGGAATCCTAAGGGATCCCATAGGATGCCTATAGGATTCCAATAGGATTCCCATAGGATCCCAGTAGGATTCCTCAGGGACCCCATAGGATTCCCAAGGGATCCCATAGGATTCCTAAGGGATCCCATAGGATTCCCGTACGATTCCTATAGGATCCCCATAGGGTTCCTAAGGGATCCTATAGGATTCCTAAGGGATCCTATAGGATTCTTGAGGGATCCCATCGGATTCCTAAGGGATCCCATAGGATTCCTAAGGGATCCCATAGGATTACTATAGGATTCCAACAGGATTCCTATAGGATCCCCAGTGGGATTCCTAAGGGAACCCATAGGATTCCTCAGGGACCCCATAGGATTCCCAAGGGACCCTACAGATTTGACTTCGCCATCCCTGGGGGGGCTGCGGTCTGCGAAACTGTCGCCACTTTCGAGGGCTGCTGGGGGGGGGGGGGGGGCATCGGAGTGACCTGCGCGGGGACTTAGTATAAACAGGTTGGATCCTTCGGAACGCTGAAATAGGAATTCGATAGGAAATGGTCGAGTCCCAGCCGCCGGAGGAATTCCTTAATCATTTATTTGTGTTTGAATCGGAATTCAATAGGACATGGTCGAGTCGGGGACGGGGGGGTCCTTAACTGCGTCCCCCCGTCGGGGCCCGAAAATGAACCTCTTGGGGCCCTCGTGGGCCGCTCTTGGAGCGGTCTTGGGTGTTCTTGGGGCGGTCTTGGGGCCCCCCTGGGCCCCTTTTGGGGCCCTCTTGGGCCATCCAGAAGCCATCTTGAGGCCTCAAGAGGCCATCGGGCGCGAAAGGGTGACAATGCAAAAAACATCGGAAAAACATACAGGATTTGAATGATTTTGGCCTCTTGAGGGCTTCCTTGGAGGGCTCGAAAGGCACTTGGAGCCGTCCTGGGGCGGTCTCCAGAGCTCTTGGATGCATGTTGATAGCTATCTTGAACCATCTTGGGATATCTTGCGCGATCTTGGAGACCATCTTGGGCTCTCTGGGACCCCCTATGGGATTCCTAAGGGATCCTATAGGATTCCGAAGGGATCCCACAGGGTTCCTAAGGAATCCTATAGGATTCCTAAGGGATCCTATAGGATTCCTAAGGGATTCCATAGGATTCCTAAGGGATCCCACAGGGTTCCTAAGGAATCCTATAGGATTCCTAAGGGATCCTCTAGGATTCCTAAGGGATCCCATAGGATTCCTAAGGGATCCCATAGGATTCCTAAGGGATCCTATAGGATTCCTATAGGATTCCTAAGGAATCCCATAGGATTCCTAAGGAATCCCATAGGATTCCTAAGGAATCCCATAGGATTCCTAAGGGATCCTATAGGATTCCTATAGGATTCCTAAGGAATCCCATAGGATTCCAAAGGGATCCTATAGGATTCCTATAGGATTCCTAAGGAATCCTATAGTATTCCTAAGGGATCCTATAGGATTTCCTATAGGATCCTAAGGATTTCTCGAGGATCCTATAGGATTCCTCAAGAGCTCGCTGCACCGGTGCGCACACGCGTCGTGCTGTCAGAATCCGCATGGAGGACGTAGCGTTGAGAGCTTGGTCTGTGGAGGTAAGCTTTCGGGGTTGCTGGGGGTTGCTGGGGTTGCTGGGGTTGCTGGGGTCCCGCGGTTGCCCCCGGGCCGGTCAAGTCGGCCTTGTCCCTAGGGGAGGAGGCGCTGTGGAGCTCCCCACTGGACGGGCCGGTCAACTGCGCCTCGTTCAAGCCCATGTGCTGGTGAGGCGTCTGCCGGCCACATGAAGAGTTGGCATAGTGCCCGAGAGTTGGGTAGTTGGGGTAACGACAGAGATGCGATAATTCCATGTCTTCTGCTACGGTTGCTGGCTTGGGGTCCTCCAGCTGCATGTAATGGCGCTTGTGATAGTGCGCAGGAGCCCATGGGAGGGCCTGGATTGGAGCCATGTTTGGCCATCTTGGGTTGTTGGAGCGATAGTGTTGCGTTTGTAACGGCGTTTATATTGTTAAGTGGTCTCTCTGCGGAGATTCAGGGATAATATGTCCCGGTCACTCCGCGATTCAGCAAAAACGTTCCCAGCCGAGTTTTGAGCAATGGTTCAATCCCTGCGCGCAGCAGATACTCCACTTCACTGCACTCTCAATTCCCCGTTTCCCTCCCTACTCCCTTCCAGTATTTCACCCTGCGTCCCCGTCCCCTCCCCCTCGCACATACACTCCTCGTTCACTGATGAGGTGTACCCTTCGGAGAGGGCGTGACAGAACAGGAGAAACTATGAGGGGCTGCAGCGAAGAACGATCTGTAGAGAAGGAATTCACGATGAGCTAACAGGCGACACTGGCTGTCTCGAGCACCCAAACCCTTCGAGAAATTGCGGAGAGCTTCGCTCGCACGACCACGGTAAGAACTGGAAGGCGAATTCCATACGGAATTGGCCGTGCGCAGACGATCGCACCCTCAACCTCCAGCACAGATATGTAGTGATGTCGCTTGGAAGGTTTGACACTGCACGGGGATTCATGAAGGGATGGCGAGGATGCGTACGAGGGAGGGAAGGGGGGCTTATCATTATCAATATGAGCGATCGCAGGTGGTATTAGAGACACCAGACATCGTAGGAGTGTTTGACCCCATACCTCCGAAGCACTGCAATCAGGCAACCATCAAGCAGGCGGTCGAGACCTCCGAAGAGGCCCGCGGGACGATCGGGAGGGACGGAAGGCAGGCGTGGGAGGGGGAGGAGGGGAGATCGCCTATTGCGAAGGCCTTACGGCTGGCGCCGCCGACCCGGAAGGCGGGGCCGCCACTGGGACCCCCGCTGGCGACCCCCCCCCCAGGACCCGTTGGGACCCTAGGGTGGGCGATAATCTGATCCGGTACCCGCCCCCATCCCACCCCGCCATCCAGCCCCCCCGCCCCCCCCCCTCGCAGGCAAGGAATCAAGAGAAGGGGGTTCTCTTCGACTTAACTACGACGTTGTTTCCTCTCCTTGTTCTTACGTTCCCTTGGGACTGACGACAACGACGACAGCCTCCACACGCCAAATAGTCAGCGGATTTCTTTGCCACCTCTGTTCCCCATTCTATTGTGCATCTCGCCCAGTCCCGCATCGGCCCCATGATCGCCTTGCATTGCCTCGCGCTGATGTCAATACGCATCGTGTCCGTGCTTGCTATGCGTTGTTCCTTCCAGTCAGCCTAGCTCCGCCCTCGCTCTGCCTGAAACGTTGCGAATCGTTCTCCACGCGCCCGCACATTGGAGCAAGCAAGCAAGCTCGCGGGCACATGCGTTATCCAGAGCACGAGAGGGAGCTAATAGCGGTTAGCGCCACCACTCAGATTGTCTAGTGGCTTCCGGCCCATCCCGTAACCATGCTTGGGTTGTGGACAAAAGGCTCCTGAGAGGTCTCTCGGAAGGCCTTCTGGATCTTGGAGTCAGTTGGGGGGCGTCTTGGGGGCCATTCGACGACCTCTTGGGGCGTCCCGGGAATCTCTTGGGGGCTCCTGGGCCCTTTTGGGAGCCTCTTGGTGGCCTAGAGGCGGTCTCGGGGGGTGCAGGGCTCCACATGTCAGTTCGACTTCCCTTCTGGAAGCCTCTCGGGGCCAGTCTTGGATCCCTTTCGGATTGGGACTCTCGGGAGATCTCTTAGGCTATCTTGGGGGCCTGTTGGGTAAATCTGGGTGCTCTTAAGACAGACATGCCTGGTGTGCGAGAATCATCAAAAGAAAGTCTTGACTTTTCAATGGCTTTGGCAACACGGGCCAGCGTATTGGGCCTGCAAGACGGCTCAAGAGAGTCCCCAGTCGGTCTCCTTGAGCCTTCTGAAAGGATGTTGGAGTTCGAGACTCGCAACCGCTGCGGGAAAAGTCATGCAGGAAGCCCCCTGGATCGCCCACTAGCGACCAGAACGCGGGGGTTTGGGCCATTTTCAATCCAGTGAAGTCGAAGGGACCTGAGGACACTATTCAGTACCTCGCGGCACAGTGGCGGATATTGCGATACCGCGAGCACGGGGGCAACATCTCGAGCAGAATTGAAGTCATTGGCACCCGTACGTCGAGCATGATGAGATCGTAGCCAGCGCCATGCGTGGCAGCAGCATGCCACGATAAAAGCATCCGCATGCCAGCGTGCAGGTATGCAACTACAGCAGCCTGCCATACAACGTGCTTTTCTTGTTCAAGTCGCTTTGCGAGCATCGCCTGACCGAACAGGTCTCGCAGACGTGGCGAAACTCGGAGGGTGTTTGGGGGTCTTGGCGGGGCTGCTCGCTGGAAGATTCGGAAAAGACCAGGAGGGGGCTGGGGGTTCGGAGGGAGGATTTGCCGGGTATCCCAGGGGGATCCTTTTAGGCGGTCCTGTGAGTTGTTGAGGGCGTCTTGGACGGACACTTCAAGTTGTGCGGAGGTGCGGCCAATCAGCGCGCATTCGTGCACATTTGCGTTCTTGGGCCCCTCGTGGGTGCCCTCTCGAGGTTCTCGAACCTCGCGGGGCCTCCAGGGAGAGTCGTACGGACATACAGGGCCAGTCCCAGGGTGTCATGGGGCCGTCTTGGGGCCGCACATGTCGAAGAGTGCAGAGCGCGCTGTTTGGCCATGGTTGCGGACTGTTGTAAGCCCATGGTGAAGCCCTGATTTTGCACCAACACGGAGCAATTAGGGCGATGTTCTTCGGATGGTCGCGTCCTCCCCCGTTTCTAGATTTGATCTCTCTCTCTCTCTCCCCCTCTCTCTCTCTATATATATATATGTCTATGTATATATATATGTATGTATCGCTTTCTCTTTCTCCATATCCTCCCATATCAGTCGATAACTTCTTTAACATACACGTACCAAGCACTTGTGCTGGAAAAGATAGGTCGAAGACCTGAGTTCCGAATCAAAGACAATGCAAGTTGACGCTGTTAGTGTTTCGAGGCGCGTGACGTGGGCCATGTGCAGGTTTATCCGAAGTTATCTGAGGCGTCCAGGGGGCTTACGGAGGTCTCTTGGACACTCCTCAAGCCTCGTGGGTCGTCTTGGAGACGTCTCAGCGCGTGGTGGCTGTTTTCAGGCGTCATGACCTGTCGCGGACGCGATTAGGGCCGAGTCTGCCAACGATCGTTGCGGCGTTCGAGTGAATGCACCGAGGCTCATCGGGGACAGAGAGGGGGCAGTGACCAACACCGTTTCACCACAGCAGCTACGGCCAAATTCTAGCATGATGATGAGTGTGCCAGCACAGCTCAAGGCCTCTTCTGTGGCCTCCAAAGGTCTAAATCCTGAGCTGATTCCCCTTATTACTGCTTCCGTGGTGCCCCCCCACCCACCCCGTCATTGTCATTTCTTCTCGCACTCAGTGCCCCCGTCGCTTGCGTTCTCTTTGAGGCGTTGGTGGCTGCGACTCCAAACCGCAAGCTCTTGTGGGAGGCCCACACGCCCCAGGTGATGCCGCGCCCACGAGGAGGAGGAGGAGGAGGAGGGGGGGGAGGATGAGGGAGAGGAGGAGGAGGAGGAGGATGAGGGGGAGGAGGAGGAGGAGGAGGAGGAGGAGGAGGAAGAGGAAGAGGAGGAGGAGGAGGAGGAGGGAGTGGCGGGGGGGAGGGGGAGGAAGAGGGCGGGGCGGGGAGGGGGGGAGGAAGAGACTGGGGGAGCAGAAGCCTGGGTAGGAGGAGGAGGAGGAGGAGGAGGAGTCAAGCCAGCTGGCTCGATCGAATCACCAGGCCTCATTGAAAGTTGGATCCTCCACCTCCTCCTCCTCCTCCTTCTCCTCCTCCTCCTCCTCCTTCTCCTCCTCCTCCTCCTCCTCATGGGCCGCGCACACGCGAGAGTGAAGCTCTCAGGAGATCCTTGCGCGGCGATTTGGCAGTAGCACCACGCAGCCCCCTTACGCGCGGCCACACGTTCTGATGCAAAACATGTTCCGCACCCTGAGACGGGATGGGCCGCTCGCGCGCTGCGCGTCGGGTCCCGTTTTCTGCCACGCATCTTGCAACGTGGACTGCGAAACGTCCATGCTGAAGGAAAGAACGTCGTCTTTGTATTCTTCCCTCTGGATAGAAAGGGCCCCCCATATGCTTTCCGTTAGGGTACCCTCGGTTTCTTCGCTCCGCGCGTTGCGCGGTGACTTCTGGCGGCCGTTGAAGAAGTTGTTGCGTTCAGGGTGTTCTAGGTTCCCCCTTCGTGTGCATCTCGCGCGCGCGTTTTCAGGGCTGTTGCGAGGGCTGCTTTCGGCCGCGTTCGCACTGCATGGTGGCGCTGGGTGGTAGAATGGGAGTGCCTCACAGGCCACCCTTCCGGTGGTGAGAAGGAGGATGGGGGGATGGGTGATAGGTGCAGCTTTTATGTTTCGATGGTTTTTCCTCGAATGAGCCGACCAATTGATAACCAACGGTCGAAACAATCCATCTAATTGCATTCGCTTTTGAATTGCATATGATCAGTGTGCTTGGGAAGGCACATGCGGCGAACCACTGCCGCTTCCAGCCTTGTGGATACGCCTATCTTGCCAAGTGATCGGACTAGGTGTTCCCCTAGCCGTTCTGGAAACCTATGGGGGAACATTTGTGAGAGGTACCGAGGAGGACGGGAGGCAGGAGAAGGATGGGGAGGCGGAAAGGGAGGCCTCCTAGGTCCCTCTTGGGGTCTCTCATGGCATCATGGGGGCCTCTGAGGGGCCCGTCGGCCTTCGGGGGCCGCCTTTGGAGGCCCCTCCGGGCCGCCGCGCAGCACCTTTAGGGGGCCTCTTGGGGGCCTCTTGGGGCTCACTTGGGGCCTCGTTGCGGGGGCGAGCCGTACTGCTTGGGCCCTGGGTGGCACCGCCCCGTCATGCGGTGTGCTGCCAATGACGCTCGCGGAGGCGGCTGCCCGCCACACGCGTTGTCCTGCACTCCCTTGTGCGGGTCGTGTGTGGCGGTTCCCCCCCTCCACCCCTAATTAGGCCCACGCGCCTGAGCTGGGCACGGCGCCACCGAGGCGGTTGACCGCTCGCTCTGCGCGCGCGTCGACAAAACAAATACTTGGGGCCTCATTGCGGGCCTCGTGGCCCGTCTTGGGGCCTCCCTGGTCGTTTCTCTGGGGCCGTCTTGGGGCCGTTTTGCGGAATTCTGGAGCAGTTTTCGGAGGTCAGAAGACCGAGAAGACGCGAACGCAAAAACTGTTCAAAGACGTACAGAAATCAATGAGTATGGCCTCCGGGAAATCCTCTTGGAACCCTCGTGGATGTGTCTTAAGGGCCTCGTGGGCCGTCTGGAGTGCATCTCATATTGTGACGACGTGTAGGCCATCTTGTTCGTATTGGAGACGTCTTGTAGTCTTGGCGATGTTGTCACTGACGTCTGTCATGACGTGGCCCGTGGCGTCTCAAATATGGAGGTTTGCTTCGGGAGGAAGTATGCGTTTCCGCCCCGGCGGAGGAGAACGACAAGGAAGGGAAGACGGACGAGTTGTGACGGATGTTTGGGAAAGGGGGATGAGGAGGAGGAGAAGGAGGAGGAGGAGGAGGAGGAGGAGGAGGAGTTGGAGGACGAGGAGGAGGGATGAGGAGGAGGAGGAGGAGGAGGAGGAACAGAAGCTCGGCGTGGAGGAACACCCCTTCGCTGGAGGAGGGGGAATTGGTGGAGTCGCAGGGGCGCGATGGAAGAGGAGAAGCAGGAGGAGGTGGAGGAGGTAGAGCTGGAGGAGGAGGCGCCGCGTGCTGCCGTTAGGAATGGGCTCGGAGCGTTGCGATATGTGCAGGGTGGGCACCACCCTTCCGACCCGAGGCGGACGGTGTTTCGACGCCCGCCCGCTCCAGCCCGTCCAGCTTGCGTGCTTGAGGGTTCTTGCCCCACCATCGGGTGTTGCCGGATGTGGCCCTTGACCCAAGGTGTCTCCTGGACTCCCAGGAAGTCGCCCGAGGCCCCCAGAGCTCTTTTGGCGAGGCTCGGACAGCTGTGCGTGGGACTTGAGGACGGCACGCAAACAGAGGACACTTTGGGTTAGGGGCGCCTTTGGCAAACCCGAGCGCCACTCGACTGACGTCGCCCGCTGGTCTGGTCCGCCCTCCCTGCCCGTCGAGGTGATCAAGGTGGAGATGTTGCGGCGCGGCTTCGAGAACGCGGCCGAGAAGAAACTTGCGGTACACACCGAAGCTTACGAAGCTTAATTCAGCGGGTTTGGATGAGCATCGGAACGGTTTTGGATGAGGTTGGATGAAGTCAGTGCAGAGGTGGGATGGGTCGGAATGGGGATGGAAACGGAGGCGAGGGGAAGAGATGGGCTCGGTGGTTTTGTAATTCATTGTTGCCAAGCACGGCTAATAAAACCGTCGCCCTTCGTCCCGCATTCGCCAGGGAAAGAGATGGGAGAAGAAGGGGGGGAGGTAGGAAGAGATGAAACTGTGGACGGGGAAGGAAGGGTCCGACAAGAGCGCTGGGGGGGTGACATTCTCTTCAGAAATGGGGCGTGGAAATGCGTAGCTTTGGGCCCCAGAATCGGAGATTGTGGGTGCGAGAGTTTCCGCCAAGCCATACCACCAGGAGTCGCGGTGTTGTGATTCGTGTCGTGGGCCGCGTGCGTTCCAGTCTGCATTCCCTGCCCTCCTCCATCTCCGCCACGCTCACTCATCTCCCCTCCACCTCTTGCCTCATCCAGCCCTGCGCCTCTCTCCCTCCGATCCCTCGCTCCCTCCCCATCCCCGTCCTGCACTGTTTTGCGACCGCAGAGGGTGCACACTGGAGCCTCCCGACGGATGGGTGGCCGACATGCTCCCACTAGACAAGGTGACGGACGACGTGTCCCTCGTGGAATTTCTCGGTGAGAAGGTGAAGTTGACTGAGGGCGAGTACACCAACATCAAGGTAGGGCAGGGGGGACGTGTGGCTTCCCTTACGGAGTGATTACCACTTGGGGGTCGAATGTGTAACTCATCGATCCTTGGGTCCCTGGGTGGTCCCAAGCTCGAAGAACTTCGCAAAGGGGTCCGATCATGGCACCGAACCAGGGAAGATTGCGGTGCCTGCCTGCTTCCAGACGCGGTTGAGTAGGTCTTCTCCAGCTCACATACCGATGACCTCGAGGTCCAGCGTTGCTGCGCGCGCCACAAGGGGAACGCCGCAGAGGATGACGTGACGAGTTAGGGTCGGGAGCTGCAGATCTCTCCTAAACAATGTTTGCTCTTAGGGGCTCATGCCCAGGTATCTCCGTAATTGAACGAGTCCACCGATGATGCTCCACGTTGCCGCCTCTTGAGCGCTCGTGGGCGCCCCGTGCGTTGGGTGGGTCCGCCGAGTTTGCGCCACGTTGCCGTCAGGGCCGCCCCCCCGTGGGCGCTCGTGGGCGCCCCGTGCGTTGGGTGGGTCCGCCGAAGTTGCGCCACGTTGCCGCCTGTGACGTGTCGTTGGCGCTCGTAGGCGCCCCATGCGTTGGGTGGGTCCGCCGAGGTTGCGCCGCGTTGCCGCCCGGGCCGCCCCCTCGTGGGCGCTCGTGGGCACACCGTGCGTTGGGTGGGTCCGCCGAGGTTGGGCCATGTTGCCTCCCGTGCCGCCTCGTTGGCGCTCGTAGGCGCCCCGTGCGCTGAGCTTACGCCGCCTGACTTGCACCACATGGCTTACACCACATAGCTAACACCGCATAGATTTATCATACAGCGTACACCTCATAGCTGCCACCCCTTGCTCACACCACATTGGTTGCATCACCGCGATTGGTCTTTTTCGAGAATCCCCAAATAGCTGATAATTCATTCTCTGTTCGGCAACCTTGTTGACGGACTGGGCTCCCACTTATAGCGGAAGATAATTTGTTCTCCGCGGCACCCGCCGGACAACGACAGGGACGGCGACGACGGTTCTTACGACTACGACTAGGATTACGACTACGATTACGACTACAACCAAGACTATGATTACGATTAGAATCACGACTGCAATCATTATTACAATCACGAGAATACAGAGGCTACAATCACGATTACAACCACAACAATTGATCCTTGTTGCACTGTCATGGGGAGATGCTCACGAATCCTCTCGCGTGTAGGGTAGCCCACAATAGATACTTCCTGGGATAATGATTCCACCAACATTTCCAGCCTGGCCAGCAATAGTGGGAGAATGATCTCCGCCGCGACAACGATCACGACTACAATTACCACTACAACCACTCACGACTACAACCACGAGTCCAATCACGACTACTCCCGCGACTGCAATGACAACTATACCCACAACCACTGTCACAAGTTCTCTCGCGTGTAGCGTATCCCACACTGGATTATTCCCTGGGAGAAAGAACCCCCCAATAGTATCCAGCCCGCCCAGCAATAGAGGGGACATAATGTCCGCCGCGACGACGAGCACGACGACCACGACGACGACGACGACGACGACGACGACGACGACGACAACGACCACGAGAAAGAGCAGGAGGATCAGGAGGAGGACGAGGAGGAGGAGGAGCAGGAAGAGGAGCAGGAGGAGGAGGAGGAGGAGGAGGAGGAGGAGGAGGAGGAGGAGGGAGTAGAAGCAGGAGTCGGAGGAGGGACGAACTTGTTCCTCGCCGAGAGAAATGGGGGGATCAAAACTAAGACCTCCTGTGGTTAGCTTTTTACTTCCATGGTTCGCAATACGTCACTGTTTGGGGTCCACGCTGGCTCACTAGGGGTTCGTAGGGGCTCTTACGTGGGGGTTCCCGAAGTGCCTTGCCTAAGACATTGGAGATGTGTCCGCTGATGTGTCGCCTGGTGCCCGAGCAGTGTCCTATCCTGTTCGCCTCTTGAGCGCCCCGTGCGCGGGGTGGGTCTGCCGGGGTTTCGCCTGGTGCAGGGTTGGTGGCCGGTCGCGGGCGCCGCGTGGGCGCCCCGTGCGTTTGGGTGGGTTCTCTGGGATCTCGCTTGGTGCATAGTTGTTGGGCGCCTCGTGGGCGCCCATGCGTTGGGTGGGTCTGCCGGGGGTTTCGTTTTGTACCCGCCAGTGGGCGCCTCGTTGGCTCCCCAGGAGCGGCCGCATAGCTTGCCCTGCATAGCTTGCGCCGCGTAGCTTGCCCCAAATGGTTTGCACCACATAGTATACACCCCATAGCTTGTACCACATAGCCTTTTATCACACAATTTCTTCCACATAGCTTGTGCAACATGGCCTACACCACTTAGCTCACACCACATCTATTACATCACATAACTTGCAGCATCTAGTTGGCACCACCTAGCTTGCACCGCTCAACCAACACCGAACAGCTTGCACCACATAGCTTACACCGCACAGCTGGCACCACATAGTTTCCACCGCGTAGTTTGCACGGCACAACAACCACCACATAGTTTGCACCATAGGGTTTGCACCAAGCAGCTTGCACCATACATAGTGCACCGCGAACCATGCACATCTACAGTGCACTGTTCTGAGCCCACGCTGGCAAACATTGTGTTCGAAAATCTGGGTCACACGCGGGGGTGCGAAGGCGAGAGCGCTTCAGGCGTGGTGGCCTGGCCCAGAGAGGCCCTTGACCAGGGGACGGCGCGAGAGCGCCAACAATATTGCGCCCCGCGCACCGCGGAGCACGAAGCGCGAAGATGGGCGCCCGCCGCCGCGCCACCAGTCGCCGTCCATGAAGTCGTGTGCCACGAACGCGCCCACCACGGGCGCTCACCCGGCGCCGCGCCCAGCCGCAGCCGTCACCGCCCGTGCCCGTGCCGCCGCCCGCGGCCTGCGCGCCGTACTGCAGTGGCCGGCACCGCAGCCGCGCCGAGCCAAGCTGGCTGCGGCGCCAGCGGCTACGCCCTCTTCGCCGGCCAGGCCGCTGCCGCCGGAGCCGCCGCCTGCGTCGTGCGCCTCGATGCCCCCCTCGCGCCGTCCTCGACGGGGCCCCCTGGCCTCCCAGCTCGCGCCCGGGCCACCACCGGGCGATCCACGAGCAGTGCGCGACGTCGCTCTCGAGGCCCCCGACCTCGCCCCGGGCCGCCCGGCGGCGGCCTCGGCGCCCTCCGAGCGGGCCGCCTCGCCCTGCGCGACGGCGCCTTGTTGTCCGCGCCGTCCTCGGCGAGGCCGCGGGCGCCGCTGCCCTCTTCGGCGTCCCCTCAGGAGCGAGAGAAGGACGTACGCGTGCAGGTCGGGGGCGGCCAAGAGGGGGGTGATGACCAGGGGGAGATGGATATCATGGCGTGGGCCATGATATCTCCCCAGATTTCATGGCGTTTCTTCTTATTTCATTATGTCCCCAGCCCCCTCATGGGACGCGCACATGTCGCCGGCCATGATTTGCGCACCCCGCTCTTGGACGCCCCCCTCTTGGACGCCCCCGACCAGGAATCCGCGTTGGTTATGAGAGGACAGTCAGCCTGCACAGTAAGGATGTGCAACCTTCCCAAGGGTACCCATTGCATCCTTGCCTCCTCGGTCCATCCTTGGCCACTTTCGCTGGCCGCGCCCCGCTCGCAAGGCGTTGACATGGCCTTCCAAGGCCCTTGCATTTTTGCCGCGCATCCTCATTATACGGGTTGGCTGTACGCAGTACGCATTTCGCGAACGTTCGTATCACGAGGCTGGTCTCGCGGACTGGGGTGTCGTACCCATGTGCGTTGTTGGCCCCCGCCGCGCTCTGTCCTCTGCCGAATTCCGTGCCGACGGAGTCGGCCGAGCCGTCCACCGGACGGTGATCGACGGCGCCCGCGGGTTGCACGTGCGCACACCAGCGCGCGCGCACGCACCAATCCAAGCGCGTAGCGCGTAACGCAGGCAGCGCGTGCTGGCACACGCACCGGGATTCGTCCCGTTCCATTCCTCCTGCTTTTCCTCTAGGCCTCCTAGATGGGGTCCGAGTCGATGGGGTCGGAGGATCGCTACGCATCGCCGATGCGTCTCCATGTGGAGCCCGATTTTACCCGCGCCGGTGTCGCCGATGCACCGCCGGCATCGCCGATGCATCGGCGATGCGGCGTGATCCTCTGACCCCATCTACTCGGACCCCATCTGGCAGGCCTCGACCTGCCCATTCCCCCTTGCCGCTCCAGTATTACATTTTCGCGGCGTCTCCATTCACCCTCGCTCAGGGAGGCCCGCGAGGGTATGCGACGCGTTCCGTCTTGCACTGGAGAGTTTAGACAGTCCACGGTGAGGGTTGTCTCGTCACCCCCGTGCGTGGAACGAGTAGGATCGGGCTAGACGCGTTTTGCATAGCTAGGCCTAAAGGTGGCAATTCGTACGCATCTTCCCTACAGCAGGCTCAAAGATACCTGCCCGAAGCGTCTTGCAAGAGCCTCGGATCATTGCTTCCTTTCTTCCCAAACAGTGCTTGCGTTAAGGGTTCTTACTGCGGCTCCCTAAGGTATTGAACGGGTCGGCCGTGGAGTTTCCACGGTGCCTTCGTAGGCGCTCGTGGGCGCCTCGTGCGCGGGGAGGGTCGGCCGAGGCTGCGCCACGTTGCCGTCCGTGCCGCCTCGCGGGCCCTCGTGGGCGCCCCGTGCGTTGGGAGGGTCGGCCGAGGTCGCGCCATGCTGTCGCTGTGCCACCTCTGCGGGCGCTCGTGGGCGCCCCGTGCGCTGGCACACAGATCACACTGCACGGCCTGCAACACAGAGCTTACACCGCGCATGTTACACAACATAGTTGGCGCCAAATAGCTTAAATCGCATAGCTTTCACCTCCTGCTCTCGCCACTGAGATACACGACATAGCTTGCAGCATATATCTTACATGACATAGCGTTCACCTCTATAGCTGGCGCTTCCTAACTCTTGCGAGATAGCTTCCACCACATCGCTTACATCGCATGGCGTCCACCTTCACAGCACAATACATCATTGTGTTGGTTCCACGCCGGTGAATGCCATTGGTAAAGTAGCAGCACAGCAACCTCGAGGCAGTCTTGAAGTTCTCATGCATGACGTCACGCATCGAAAGGACCATGAGAGCGCGATGGTAAGAGGCGGGCATCCACGCAGCCCTTCTGGTGGGTCGCGTCCGCGGCAGGTGACGACGCCGGAGGACATCGCCGTGGTGGAGACGATAGCTGGGGGGCTCTCCTGTGGGCGTGGGGCACCGTTCCCCCCCCTGGGCGCACCGTCGACCAGAGCTCTCGAGACCTTCCCCTCCCAGGGGGCTGCGAGCGGCCCCCCGACGCAGAGAGCTCCGCAGCGATGTTGCTCAGGGTTTGCTCAAGACACAGGAGGTCTGAGGAGGCCTGAGGACGATTCGATCGATCCAGTGGTGCACACCCATGTCCGCGCGCCCGTGGTTCGGCACGATCCAGTGGGGGCGGCTCGACCGAGTGGGGGCGGCCCGACGGACTGGCGACCCGTGGGGAGCCGGCAGACAGCCCTGGCAACCGTGGCCAGCATTGTCAGTTCCCACCACCATTCCCTCCTCTGCTCCTTCCCCCCCCCCCTTGAGGCCCTCTTGGGCCGTCTTGGGGCGCCTCTTGGGCCGTCTTGGGGCGCTCTGAGGCCGTCTTGGGGCCCTCTTGGATGCCTCTTGCGCCGCTTTGGGGCGGTCTTGGGGACCTCTTGGGTCGTCTTGGAGCTTCGGACAGCCGAGAAGTCGAGACCGCCCAGAATCATTCAAAAGCCTGCGCCCAGCTGGCCTGGTCGCCCAGGTGCTGGGGCAAGCTGGCCAATGGTCGGACACCTCCCATGCTGCTCTTCCGATTTTGATAGGGTCCGCGCCATGTGGGTTCCATCATGGAGGAAGATGAGCAGGAGCAGAAGCAGGAGTAGCATTAGTTGTTGTTTTTTGTTGCGAGGCCCCGCGCGAGCAACTAACTACGCAGCAGCAGGAGCAGTAGGATAGTCAGGATCATGAGAGAGAGAGAGAGAGTTGTCAATGTTGATGGGTCTCTCTTCCGATCTCAGTCGGCTTGCCACAATCCTGGATTTCGTCGCCGGTCCCGTCGCCGTCGCCTGTGCATCCCGTCTGTGCGCGGCGGGCCAACCCAACAGAGTCAGAATGCATTGATAGGTTCTCATGTATATAACAGAGAGTGTATGGCTTCCTCCTCCTCCTCCTCTGTCTCCTCGATCCTCGATACCGTGGAAGGACCAGATCGGCGTGTACGTAGCGAGAGTATCTCAGTCCCCAGACGCGCGCCCGAGGCGGAGACGATACTGCGGAGCCGCGGCTTCACCAGCCCTGCGTCCGCGTGAGTTGGCGCACCGCGCGCCCAGGCTGGAGGGACCAGGCTTGGAAGAGGATTGAGGATCGAGGAGGAGTTTCGAATATTTGTGTTCGCGTCTTCTTCTTCATCTTACTAATACCTTTGTTATTATTTCTTCGGTGCGATCGACATGGGTACGGTGAGACGGTGAAAAGAGGTACGAAGACCGACAGCAGTGGACATTGCTGTGGGCGTCGCTGTGGGCGTCGCTGCGGACGCTGCCCATGTGAGACAGAAGGCCGCCTGCCCAACAGCGGCCGCTGTGAGTTTCGGACAACATGTGGCATTTGGCATTCTACATTTTTTTTCCGTTCCTGTTCCAGCGTGTCCAGATTGTTGGACCGTTTGAAACCGATCCAGGCTGGAAAATTGAGCAGGGTGGACCTCGGACAGGTTATCAGAAAACAAGTCAAGTGTGGTCGATAAGCCTACTGCGTCACCTCGCGGAGCCGAAGGGAGGAAACAGTACTGCAACACACTCTTTCGTGCACGAGTGGAGGACACAGTATTATCAAACGAACGCAGCCATGGGAAATGCTCCAGGCTGCGAAGAACATCAATCAGTGTCGTGCTTCGTTCTTGCTGCACAGAGGAGCCAATTGCATCTGCCCACCCGTGCCGTGGACGACTTCGGCGTCGGGCGCCAGCTGGACGCCAGCGAGAAAGTTGGGCAGGCCAAGCGCGCGAGTCATTGGAGGCAAGCCGTGCCACGAGGCGCCACGTCGCACTTTTCGCAACAACAAACCAATCCTGCGCAGGAGCAGTGTTCAAATTGACGTCTATTGTGGTCTTGCAGCGTCACCCCGCTTCTCACCAGCTTCCTCGAGCAATTTGTTGAAGCCAGCTGTGGTGCGATGTTTGAACGAGTCGGTTCAATGCGTGACCGCAGTTATGTTGTCATAGCAGTGGTCGAAAGACCATCGATAGGAGTGGACGCAACAACGTCGCTGACAAATCCGTAAGGGCTTCGCCCCCTGCCGCCGGCCCCCTCTCTCGGAGAATGGGCCATGGAAGAGCTAAGTCATGAGGCTTTGGCGCTGTCGCGCAGCAGTATCGGAACTTCATGCGAGGCCGATTCGCAATCGGCAAAACCAACTGATCACAAGAGGGGTTATCACACAGGGCGATTGGTAAGACGTGTATGGTTTACGAGCTTGGTTACCACACCTTGGGATTAAAGGGCCGAGGGGGTACTCGCAGTTTGGGTTACCACGCCTTGCGATGGATGTCCGTGAGGGGTGGCACCGAATTTCAGAAATGTGGCAAATCCTATGTGTTTTTGGACCCTGACCCCGCGGATCTGCGTGAGGGGTGGCACCGAATTTCAGAAATGTGGCAAATCCCTGTGTTTTTGGACCCTGACCCCGCGGATCTGCGTGAGGGGTGGCACCGAATTTCAGAAATGTGGCAAATCCCTATGTGTTTTTGGACCCTGACCCCGCGGATCTGCGTGAGGGGTGGCACCGAATTTCAGAAATGTGGCAAATCCCTGTGTTTTTGGACCCTGACCCCGCGGATCTGCGTGAGGGGTGGCACCGAATTTCAGAAATGTGGCAAATCCCCTGTGTTTTTGGACCCTGACCCCGCGGATCTGCGTGAGGGGTGGCACCGAATTTCAGAAATGTGGCAAATCCCTGTGTTTTTGGACCCTGACCCCGCGGATCTGCGTGAGGGGTGGCACCGAATTTCAGAAATGTGGCAAATCCCTGTGTTTTTGGACCCTGACCCCGCGGATCTGCGTGAGGGGTGGCACCGAATTTCAGAAATGTGGCAAATCCCTTGTGTTTTTGGACCCTGACCCCGCGGATCTGCGTGAGGGGTGTCGATTTCGAGCACCCCCAGCAATTCAGACAACGCGCCCAGGGGGAACTAAAAAATCCTGTTTGGGCCTCCCCCCCCTCGCGCGGTCAATCAACTAGTTACAGTAACCAGCAAGAAGCAGAACTGTAACACTGGAAACTACAAGCTACAACTGGTACTGGAAACTGCGAACCCGCGCCTAGAGCCTGGTGGCCCCACAAGGGGGCCGGCGGATCTTCAAGCGGAAACGCATAGACATGTTCATTTTGCGGGAAGGAGATTTTCCCCACGCGCTCAGTATACGATAGCTGACGTTGAACACAGATCCTCTGCGCAAACTGCTACAGCTCTTCTTACCTTCAAGTCGGGCGTGTCCCTCTACAGGAGGAATTTTCAAAAACAGTCAAAACATAGTCAGGGGACGATTTTTCTACCGTTATTGACAATGGTTTTAAATGTTTTGACTATTCTCTATTTGTCGTCCAACATCCGCCTGTAGGGGGACACGCCCGACCTGATCTTACCCATCTGTACTTCTGGTGCGCCTGGGACGCCCTGGCGGACACATGGCATCTGGCGAGCGGCAGAGCGGATGGCTTTCCGACGTTGGATATACAGTCGAGGCGTTGACCTAAGGAGCCCTCAACAATGTTCCGTACGTCAAACTTCGATTCACCATCGGAAATTTAAGGATATCCTTAGGCAAGCTGTGAGACAATCAAGGAACACCGAGCCCCTCACCAACGAAAAGGGTTCGTTCGTCAGCGCCCCGGCTGTAGCAGCGATGTTGGTGTCCACGCGAGTCTTGTCTGCATTTGAAGCCGGGCCGCGCACCAAAGACCCCTCTCGGGGCTCAAGAGACGGGGGTCGATGCAAACGGGGGTCAGCCAGTGCGCCCGATCTTGCAGGATCCTGCAGGGGCAGGGTCGCATTGACCCGGGTTTGGGTGCAGGATCCTGCAGGATTTTGCAGGATTTTTCGTATTGAACCGGGTTTGGGCGCAGGATCTTGCAGGATTTTGCCCGGCTTGACTGACTCCGGTCTGGATTGACCCGGGTCAGAAGCGCTCCGACTTTCCGGAAGTACATCCAGCATGCGTGTAGCCTTTGCGGCAGACCGTGCATGTAGCAGAGTAGGCGTGGCATATGCTACTGAGCAAATTGACGCATTTAAAATCGAATCAGCACTGTCATGGTGCCAGCATCGCAGAGCGGGTTTTGTTCGGAAAACACTGGGATGGGCCCGGATTTTCCTGGAAAAAATTCGCCCTGGATTTCGCAGTGAATTTCGTGCGAATTCTTTTTGGCCCGGAATGAAGATTACAAATAATCCACGTGAAATTCACTTCGTTTTTTGCTCGCCGTTTTGGTTTTTGCATTGGCAGAAATCCACCCGAAAAGCCGCTGCAGCACGTCTGCAAGGTCGGTGCAGTGAGCATTACCGAGTTCGTCTTCTGAATGTCTGAATTGCGAGTTCCAAGCTGGCGTTGAAGAGCATCATTGATGAAACGTCTCCGTGCTTGATGCCGCGCGCAATGTCAAGCGTTGCGCTGCCATCGACAATCCCCTGTTGGGCACTGCAGATATTTGGCATGAGTCGTGCGTACTCTACATGAGCGCCCTGCTCCGACAACGCATTGAAAAGCACGTGGATTTCCAGTCGGTCGAACGATTTAGTGATATCTACACTTAAGTCGGGCCTGTCCCTCTACAAGGGGAACATTCAAAAATAGTTCAACAATAGTCGGGGAACGATTTTTCCACCATTTATTGGCTATGTTGGAATCTGTTGCGACTAGTTTAGATTCTTCCTCCAAAATCCGCCTGTAGGGAGACATGCCCGACCTAAGCGTAAAATTGGGATGGGGCGCCAATTGCCCGCCTTCGGCACCGTGACACAGCACGTCTCTTGCCACGTGGAGCGTGGGATCAATAATTCCCGTGCTGAACAACGGGTTCCAACAGACCCAAATGGCTTCTCCGCGGAGCGTCACCACCACATGCAAACATTTCAAGGGTGATGCCACGCTGGTCAGCACACGTGTCGCGCTGCACCTGCGTGACATGTTGCCGCAATTCCTGCATGCCATAGGACGGGATACATATATAGACAGGCCTCAGCAGCATACGCACATCCCAGTAGATCTCCTGGCGGAGTTCCCAGGTCGGCGCTGGACCTCCCTCCCCACACCCCTTCGCGTGCGGAGGACGCTGGAGACGCGGCCAACGGTGCGAGGAGGAGGGGGTTCCATCACCGATCCCAACAGGTCCGCGTGGACGTCCAAATGTGTATGTTCATACCGCTTGGAAGAAGTCTCTGAATAAGCTCGTGTGAAGCATCTTTCTTCGCGACTCCCCCCAATCACCTCCCTTTCGAATTAAGAAAGGAGTCCGAGAGAGGAGGGCGGGGGGGGTTGGTGATCGAGCTCTGCATGGTACCGGGGAGGGGTCCTCTGGCATGGAGTAGGCCTCGTCGAGTGCCTTCGAGCTGCCCGCTATAAACGTCGGCATTCCAGGTGGGGGCTTCGACAGATCCAGGGACACCAAACTTTCGATCGAGGCAATGTCGATGTCTGGCGCCGCAGCCCCCGTCAACGAAAGTCCACACGTGAGGAGGCCTGACGCGTGGTGCTCGAGGCAAGTGCCGTGGCAATGGCTACCTCCGCTGAGTGACCTCCCCCACCAGGGCCGTGTTCAATCGTTTTCCTGACTTCTTTTTAAAGCGTGCCCAGCCTACGGCAGCGATGCATACGTCTTGCGGCCGTGAAAGGCAGCGCGTGCGCCGCCTTTGCTGCAGCGGGGAGGTAGGGGGGCGTCGTTGGGCACTGGCTGTCATGCACCGTAGTAGGAATGCAGTGTTTCATCAAGGTTGCCCTTGCATCAATGCTCGTTCGACCCATCAGCCTTGCATCATTACCCTTGTGCTTGATTGCGTTGGTGCCTGTGGCAATGGGTGTTCAGGCCCGTTGTACTGGTACGGGCAAAACGTCCCCGAGACCCGGGTGCAACATGCCGCCCACGACCATCCGGTAGCGCCCAGGGGGTCCACGGAGGCCTTTTGGAGTCACGGTGGGACCAGGGGCGACGATCCAGTTTCAATCTCGACGTTTCACTTGCGTGATGGTCTTGCCCCACGCAGCTGGATATCGATATAGGACGTTTGATTGCTTGTACACTGGTATGGTCAAGCTAGCCACGATTATTGTGCGCAGTGTCGACGGAGGTACGCCCAGCCAAGCTTAATACGTTTTCCACTATGCTTCTCTTGGCCCATTGTGAACGATGTGCGATAGGGTCAATGCCACTTGGGAGGAGGAGCAAGGAACAAGAGAAACAAAAGGAGGCCGAGGAGGGACAGTCAGGAGTGGAAGGTGGGTAATTAGGGCAGCTTCGGCTGACCAGCGCGAACTTGTCTGGAGGTGGCATGCGCTCGTGCCCGTTGGGGGTAGTAGATGGGGGTCCTTGTATGGGGGCACCAAACGTGTAAGGTGTGTGCCAGAAATGGGCGGGGGCGGCACGCGCGAGCGACCGCTGGGGCCGCCAATGAGCTCCCCATGGGGAGCGGGGGCACGAAACGTGTGAGACGTGTACAGTCGGACCGAGGTATGAGATCGAGGTCGGCTCGGGGATGGTACCTTACAGTCAACCCGCACAGTAAGGACGAGCAACCTTCCAAGGGTACACTTGCATCGTTGCCTCGTGGGTCCATCCTTGGCCGCTTTCATTGGCCGCGCCCCCTCGCAAAGTGGCAACATGGCCTTCCAAGGCCCTTGCATCCGTATCGTGCATCCTTGTGATACGGGTTGGCTGTAGCATTCTCCGTGTTCGTTGCGCGTTCTTGTGCATCCCGCGACGAGGGTGCTCGCGAAGGTTCTTCGGTTTGCCCGGCGGAGGGCCTCCCGTGTCCGACCGTACCAGCATGGACGGAGGGGCGGCATGCGCCCGCACCCGCTGAGGTCGTGCCAGCTATTCGAGCTCCACGCGGGGGCTGCCGAGGCAGCGGCGGGGGTGACGCGCCACGCGGGCGCGGGGCGGCGCGCCCGCGCGCCCACCGGGGCCGCAGGCGGAGTTTTCCATTCGGCGGCACGAAGCGCGCGATGGGGTGTGCCTCGGCTTACGTTGCTCCCCTCGTAGTTCAGGACGACATCCCATATGCAGTCCTGGAGCACCCAGAAAAGTATCGAAACAGTGTCGAGCGAGTATCGCCTCCCCCTGGGCCCGACACGTGAAAACCCACAAGTTTCTGTATTTTCTGGGTGCTCGGAAAACTTTCTGGTGAAGAAGGCGAAAGTTGGCTGGAACATCATAAGTCTCGGCGGCGAGCGATGAGGGAGAAAGTGAGAAGGAGAGAATCGATTGTTGGCGGGGGTAGGGCTCGGATGTCGCTACCTATAAGCAGAACGCTCGGCCAGGTCCTAGCCGGTGGGCTGGCCGACCACCAGAGAAGAGAGGAGCACAACCTCCAGCTACAGTGGAGGCCCATGCCAAGAAACACCCTGCTCGCCTCCAGGGTGCCCTGGGTTTCGATGGTGTTGCGATGGAAAGCGTGACGCTCGCACACCAAAAGTCCACGGACGCCCTGGCATCTCAAAGTTTGGTTTCTTGTGGAGGGTTTCTTGTGGACTGGCCTCCACTGTGTGGGGCTGGCGGCTCGCCCCCCCGAGCTGGTGGCGTCTCGTTTCCAGACGCGCCCCCAGGAAGTGCACGGAATGGGGTGCCACCAGCTCGGGGGGGGCCTTTGGGAACGGAGTTCTGTTGTGGCGGTTTTTCTTGCTCTCACGAGCCAGTGCGCCCCCCCCCCACCCCACTTGTTCAGTAGCAAATCGTGGGAGTTTCGTGTGTCCTTGCAAGTTCCAGTTTTAGAGAGCACTCGCGTGCGCTAGCGTCGGGTGATCGACGAGAGAGCGCCGATTGAGCGTGGATGCAGCGTCGATATAGCATCGACTAATATCGGTCAGCGTCGATTCGCAAGAGCCAGCAATCGGCGGCGAGCCCGAAGGAAGACGTGAGAAGGAGCAGGGCCTTATCAGAAGGCGGCGGGTCTTTTCAGAACCCCCCTGGCCTTCTGAGAAGTTGTCTGTGTCTTCGGCTTAGCAAACTTGTCAGACAGCCGGAGGCCGTCCGAGCCTGCTTAGACGGTCCGCCCCTTTTCCCTTTCCTCCCCGGGTTGGCCGCCAAGCAGGAGCCAACAGGGTGGGTCGGGAGGCTCCCCGCGGGCTGCCACCGCACATCGGCGTCACCCAACGCATACTCGTACCGTGTGCACGTCGCCCTCACATGGGCGACGCGCGCGCCGTGAAATCTCGCAGTATAAGAGGCCCGTGCTGGTTGTTCGGTTCGGACGGGCGCCTCCAACAAAAGCACAGAAATAGTACAGTCTTCTGTGCCCCAGCACACCTGAGCGACGCAACGAAAAAACGGGGTCGTCGGCGCCGACATCCCCGCGTAAGCTGCCCGCGTAAGCTCGTGTGTACAGTGAGCGGCTTGAATAAGGTACACTTGCGTTTCAAAAGGGGCTCGGTCTTTCCTTAGGCTTGCATGCGTTATGTACCTCTCCGTATGCGTGATCTATTAGTTATCATTCCTTGTGAATTCCTTGGGAGACAAAGGGCTCCGTGCCTTATGTATCGTTCCTTGGGTCAGGCCGATGACTATAGTACAGTCTTCTGTGTCCCAACACACCTGAGCGACGCAAAAGAACGGGGTCGTCGGCGCCGACGTTCCCGCGCAAGCTGCCCGCGTACGGTAGGTTCGTGCGGCGATGGCGTTCAAGCTTGGATTCTGCGACGCGGAAGCACCGACGGACACGGTGACGCCACTGGACCCGACGGAATTCAGCCTTGAACGATCGGGGCCGCGATCGATTCGAGGTTGAACGACCGACGCGGTGTCAAAAACCTTTACGCGCGCCGACGCCGAACGAACTTGCCGTGCCGGCGGCCCGCGGAAGCCGCGGCGTAAGGTCGTTGCGTCGTCTCGCGTCCACGAGGGGTTGTTCGGAGGGGCTGTCCGGATCCCCGCTGGGTTGCCCAGGGGCTTGTCCAGGGTAGGTTTATGTCGGGCGTGTCCCTCCACAGGAGGAGTATTCAAAATTAGTTCAAAATCGTCAGGGGACGATTTTCGGAGTATGTTTTGACTATGTTGTGGTACTTCGTGAGTTTTATTTTTCGCCCACAATCCGCCTGTAGGGGGATATGCCCGACCTAAGGGCACCTGCCGTCATCAATCAGCATGGGTTGTCTGGGTTGTCCGTGGGGTTGTCTGGGGATTTTCTGTCGATCGGATTTTGTGCCCACTGAACATCGTAATGGTGCACATCCTCTTGAAAATAGTTTTTGTCGTGCTATCACGGGTTTCCGATGCTCTCTTTGGGCCCGCCGCCGCTTGATGTCGTTCAACTCTTGAGTTCTGTGGGAGAGGTTCACTAACCACGCTTTGACGGGGGTGGTATCCTACCTCACCAGGTGCCCACAGTTGCCATCCTGCCCTCCGTGCCCCACCTGCTGCTCCCTGGCGTGTGGCACGCCCGCGCCTTGTCCCTGGTGTTCCTTGCAGTGCCCAGCGATCCCGCCGTGCGCGGAGGCGGCGCTTGTGACCTGCCCGGCGGCTGGCCCTCCCGCTTGCCCCGCGCGTGCGGCGTGTGCGGTGCCCGAGCCCGCGGCAGTCACTGGCGCTCTTGGGGCGTCGGCCACCGCGGCGGTTCCGAGCACCGTGACCGATGAGGGGGTGGACGTGCGCTCGCTGGCCTCGGGGCTGCAGGGCGGCGCGATCGGTTTCGGGGTCACCGCGGCCTGCTTGGGGTGCAGCTGTGCGGCGCTGCGACGCGACGCGCGTCCTCGCAGCCGCGGTTACGTGGGTTTCGACGAGGGCGGCGCTCAGGACGACTCGACGGGCATACGTCTTCTACGCCGTTGTGGGAGTGCGGCGCCAGCACTTGAATCGGGACTGGGTGGCGTTGTCGGCAAGTGGCCCCGTCATCTACACCACGGCCGGGGACCTGTACATCGTGGCCTTCGCCAACTACCCAGATGGGCAGGCGGCTTTGCTTGGCGCCCTTGACCCGCCTCCGCAGGGGATCGTGGCCGACTGGGTGCATTGGTTCCTCCTGGAGCCCGCCGACGTTGAGCTGGGCCAGCAGACGGCGGAGGCGGAGCGCGTCGCCATGGCCGAGCGCCGCCGCCAGGCGCGGACAATCAGCAACCTGGGGTTGCTAGCGGACCTCCGCGCGCAGGTCACGCCTGGGGGCGCCGCGCCGCCGCGCCAGTCGCGCCTGCGGGCCCTGCCCTGGGCTTGCTACGCGGCTTATCTCCCGCTGGCCTTTGCGTTGGCGTTGGCGATCCTGCGGGGGTCTGGCGCGCGGCGGCTTGCGAAGGCGGCTACCGCATCGGCGACGAGGTTCGGGGGCACGTGCCTGCCGCGGCGTGGGCGCAGAGCCGCGACATCCACGTGCTGCTCGGCGGCTAGGTTTACTTCGTGGAGCCCGTGGCGCTGGAGGTTTTCCCCAGAAAGGCGGTCGGCGTGGGCGCAAGGACCCCCCCCCCCCATCGCCTGCGACGCCGTGAGCCACAGGGGCGCGCCGAGGCACTGGATGTTCGAGATGACGCGCCAGGAGGACGTCAGATCCGACTTGGTTCTGCCTGGGCCGGGGACTGTGGCCCGGCGCATGAACTCCCCGCAGAAGGGGGACTTCGGGATGGAGGTTCGCCCCGAGCACTTGCGCCAGATGTGTTTGTTTGGGGCTGGAGCGTCGTCAGCTGTGCCGGCAGGTCAGAGCAGCCACCTTTCAGGACCTCCTCGACGGCGCAAACTTGGCCAGCATTGCGATGCAGCGCAGGGGGGGCCCAGACCAAAGCGCCCTCGCACTGGGGCGAGGCCGACGAGGCCGAGAGCGAAAGCGTGGGTGGCAAGATGCGTCTGAAGGAGCAGGCGTTTTTCTTCGAAGCGTCGAGGTCCACTTCATCCGCGAGGGCGCCCCCCGAGCTGATCGGGCACGCTTGCAGCGATGCCGAGGAGGAAGCGACGCCGCGCGCGAGGTTGCGCCTGCCCCGCGGGGAACGGGAGCCCAGGCGATGCAACGGCTGAGCTGCGCGGCCGCGCGGGCGTCGGAGGGGGCGCCGGCGCGAGCGCCCCGCCCCTCTGTTCGGGCTCCAGCTGCGAGCCTTCCCGCGCTCAAGACGCCCACGACATCGGCAGACGTCGGCCCCGGGACATCTTCCCCGCGCCGCGTCGTTTCGCGAAGGAGCGGCTGCTACGGCCAGGCTCGCCAGAGGCACGGGGCAGAGAATTTGTCGGAGGCGCGGCGTCGGCAACGACGTTATCCAATGCGCGGGCGCCCTTATAATTGGCTGCGCGACCGTTTGCCGACGCGTGGCCGTGACCTTCTGCGCGCTGCGCGGGGCCATCGCTGGCCCGGAGCCAGATGTTCTCTCCGCGTCAACGAGTTCGCGAAGTTTCTCGGCGCTCCGCCCTCGTCTTTTCCCCCCGCAGCAGCGCTTGCGCAACCTCGCGTGGCCGGGGGCGCTTGCGCTGTCGAGATGTCGCCCGTCGGGAACTACGACCCTGCGCACCTCTCTCTGCCCGACGTCAGCTCGGCGCCCGCGCCCCTGGCGGATGCGCGGGGGGGGGGGGGGGGGGCGAGCCGAGGTCGAGCAGTTCGTTCTGCAGGGCGTGCTTGGTCGGAGCGGGGCTGCCGCGAGTCTTCGGCATAGCTCTGCGCCTGATCTCCACACTTCAATCCTCTTCTGCTCGATTAGCGGCGCTGGTCCAGTTCTGTTCTGTCGCTGCATGAGCGGGGCCTCGTTGACTTGCACCCTGGATGGCGTGAGGGCCGAGATCTTTTCTGTCAAGAAGAAAGGCGGTCGTCTCTGCGCGGCGGCGGACTGTCGCCGACCCAGGGAAGTGTTCGCAGAGCTCCATGGCGTTCGATTGGCCACGGGCGACGCCTATGGCGCGCTCGAGATGGTAGATGATGACTCGCCGCTCACCGTGGATGGCGCTGACCTGAAGGACGCTTTCTATATGCCACTTGGAGCTGCTGGAGTGACCGCGCCCGCTCTTCACCCTCGGGCCCGCGCGCGCGGGCGCCCCGCTGGCACCGGGGTGGGCAGCGTCGAGGCCCCGCCAAGCTCTACCCG